TCGGGTTCGTGGCCCCTATCTGGTTATTTTTTATGGTTGTCCCGGTGCAGCTCGTATTCGGTTTTGCTCTGTATCGACAGAGTGCGCTTCGGTTCTGTACAATCGTGGGCGGGCCGGCTAGAGCGCACGCCGAGAAGTATCTGAAAGGCAAGCGCGCAGACTTCGAGTTCTATGAAGCAAAGCTGGTCGCAGCAAGCGATGGACAGCCTTGTCCAGGTAGAGGGTGAAGACTTCGAGCCGGATATTGCCTGCGAAGCCGCATCGCACCCCCCACCGACCAACCTCCACGAAAAGGTCCATTCCATGCAACCTAGACAATCCACCGGCGCAGAGCCAGACGCTGCCAGACAAGTAAAGATGGAGGTTAACGGGAAGCCGGCGGGGCTCATGGTAAAACAGAGGACACACCAGGACTTTGCACCTGATCGCCCCTTTGGTGGGTTCTGTGCATGCGGGTTCCTCTCGCACAGAACCATGGCTCAGCCAAGAAAGATGCAGGCCCAAAGAATGATCGATCGGAACGGACCGCATTGTTGGTGGTGTTCGCTCGTGTCTTCCTTGATCCTGTTGCACCTGGACTGATGGATTGGCTCAGTGCATGAGTGGCGCACGCAAGTTCGGAGAACAGTGTTTTTTCTTGCCGTCGCGATCCTCCGGGCTCGGACGTGACAAAAAACAACAATGGCACTGTCAGCGGGTTTCGGGTCCTTAGTGGATCTGGCTCCTTTTCGATGGTTCCGAGCAACTTATGGGCTTCGGTGCCGACGTGTAAACGGATACAGATTGCCTAGCTATTATTCACCAGATCAAGCTGTTTCAAGCACGACAAAACTCCACCCTAAGAGTGCCGTGCTTCAGACGCAGGTTCGAGGTATTGCCAGACAAACACTTGTACTTACGATAATGGAAGTTTGACGTCAAGAAGTAGATACATAGGCTATAGTTGGGTCATACGTACTTGACACCTTTGGACAAAGGTCGCCTCGAAAGACGGACTCGTCGAAGTGGCGGAGCTGCTGCTGGCGGCGGGTGCCGACGTGGAGACATGGCGCAGTTGCCTCTACGATTCGTGGGTTGTTGAATCTTGAATCGGGACGACAAGGGCTCTTTATCAGCTACTACAGTGCTTTGAGTGCTGTCTTCAAGGGGTTTGTGGAGATGTGTTCTTAGATCTAACTAGGGCCTCGGTGATATCGGATTTCGGTCCGGGAGCGGGGTCTTTCCCGTTGTCAAGGTTTCGACTTGAGATTTATTCCAAAAACCCCTTGATCCCCGTGTTTGCAGGGGTTCTTAACAGCGGAGGTCTCTAGTTTTTGATGAGGCCTTGAGCTTTTTGAGGACTGAGCCCCTATAGACATATGGAACCCTTAAGGAAGCCCTTAAAAAGGAACCCCTAGTAAGCCCTAGAAACCCCTGGAAGGCCTACTTGGACACCAAAGAACCTGCCTTTTTAGGGTTCCATATTATGATTTCTTTATATAAGTCCTTAAAACGGTAGGGTTTTCAGGGTCCAGGGGCCTACCTGAACCTACCAAAACCTACTTTCTTGTAGGGTCCCTAGAAATTCCATATTGGGGCTTATAATCGGAACCTACAAAAAAGTCGGTTATGGTAGCTTAAGGTATAGATCGGCTACATCCCAAAACCGCTGAACCCTAAAGGCAAAAAACAAGCTAAACCCCCCAACCCTTATAAACCCGTAGGCCCTAACCCCAGTTTCTTGAACCCCTGCAGCCGCAAACAACCCTATCATTTAAGGTCTATTCCTTAACTAAGGGATCCTAAACCCTAACCCTAAACCCCTAACCGGCTCTTGACTTCATCACTCCGGTGCCGTCCTGGCCCCTGGCAGCGCTTCAGCCCTAAACCCTCGAACTTTCAGCGGTAGATACCATGATTCTCGTTAAAATCTCAGATCTTCAGTTGAGGGTTCTGGGAGCCGCGATGCCCTAAGTAAATATTATCTAGGGTTTAGGATTTAGGGTTTAGGATTTAGGATTCATAGAGCTGAAGGACTAGGACTGGGAGATGGATGTTATTGTTAGCTCTTCCGTCTTGGCTATAGTGATTCTAAGAGGGACAAAGTCCTTGGAGCACCGGAACCGTCTCACAGAAACCTTGTCTCCAACCCCTAACGTGATAGTGGTAGTCGGCATTTATCCCTTTAGATTACAAAGCCCCCTAAACCCTAAACCCTAAACCCTCAACCCTAGACCCTAAACCCTAAACCGTTTCACAGAAGCCACGGCGATGCTGCGGAAATGCTGCGGCTGCCTCTCTGCCAAGCAGAAGGTTCAGCCGGGGCCAAACGTCGAGGCCCCTCAGAGCCACTCCGGCCGAAGGCAGGAGCACGCCATGCGCTAGGGGTATGGAAACCGTAAGCCCGAAACCCCTAAACCTAAACCCCTAAACCTTAAACTCTAAACCCGAAACCCCAGACCCTAAACCCTAAACCCTAAACTAAACTCTAAACTAAGGAGCAGTTTGTACCTGAAGGTTTTTGCAGACCATAAAAAACCCAAAGCTCGAGACCAGGATGGCTTGGGTTAACTGGCGAGTATCAAAAATTGGGTTCTTGTTAGAAACGGGGTTAGGGTTTAGGGTTTTAGGGTTTTAGGGTTTAGGGTTTCAGGGTTTAGGGTTTCAGGGTTTAGGGTTTAGGTTTAGGGTCTAGCGTTTAGGGTTTAGGGGGTTTTATTTAAGTTATCATTATACAGAAACCATATTATTTACTATACATTTCTTTCAACAACGGCAGCATTGGGTTTTTCGTTTGGATCTCTGTAGCGGCTCCTTGGGATATAATGTCTTAGCGTTTAGGGTTTAGGATTGCAAGTACTGCTGCAATGATTGCAATGTTCATGCCAGCCAGAACAAGGTTAATTTGGAAGTCGTCTTCGCGACAGAAACATCAATAGTGTGAATAGTGGTCTTGAAATTTTGACCACAAGGACAGATGCTTAGCAAAAGATTTCGTAGTAGCAGGATGAACGACAATACTGACCAGTCATCGCGCGTCGATCCTTGAACCCTGAACCTTTTGAGGCCTCGAAGCTCCAAAACCCCAAACCTTCAACCTCAGATCTTGAAAGACCTTTAGACCTCTTTTCCACAACCAATTATAATTAACAGATTTCTTGCCCTTTAAAACCTTCAACCCTAAACCCTCAAAAAACCGGAGCCCTTTTAAAACCCAAGCAGGTCGGAAGATGCTGGAAAGCCGGGGGGCCTCCTTCGAGGGGTCAGCTGCAAATACTTGGCCGGCGAGCCTTGGGCACGGACCAGGGCCCAAAATGAAAGCGAGACGGCCATTATTGTAAGTAGTCAAATTGAAATAACTAGTTAGTTGCTATGATTGTTGTCATTGTAGTCATCGTGATTGCTGTGGTTGTTATTCTTGTTATCATTTTAGTGCGATCACTATGTCATTATCAGCACTACGGTCATACATCTCGGAAGGGCACTCAGCCCTGAAGCCCAAGGCCTAGTCAAATTTAAACCCCAATGGAAGATTTTCTGCGGTTTAGGGTTTGGGGTTTAGCCTAGTCAAATTTAATTCTGAAGGAAGCCCTTTCACAGCGATTCGTAGGGTCCATCCTACAACGCCCTCGCGTCCTCGTTGTGGTTGTCTGTCATCAGCTAGTCATTTCACGGGAAACCTCGTTCAAATCGGGCCAGAAAGCCTCTCACTTGGTGACTCCATGCCTACTCGAATAGGCTATGCTGTTGATGACATAAACCCTGCATTACCTTAAGGACCCTAAACTATGGGAATTATGGTATATTCCTTACTATGGGCAATGCACGATTTATGTCAGAAAAACCGTAGGACTTGTGGAAACTTTCGGCGTGAGCCATAACTGAGGACCTCCTGAAGGAGATGGAGAATGTGGGCTTACCTCGTTCCTCTCCTGTTTATGCCATTGAAGAGAGCGTCATCCGGAAGTTGCTTCGACCTCCAATGCCTCAACTTTTCATTTTTGACTTGGGGTTTAGGGTTTGGGGTCCTTTAGTTGTTAAGATTTGGGGCTCTAAGATTTTACTCGTTAACTCCTTGGATGTTTTGGTAAGGAAGGGCGAGAAGCTGACATGTCCAAGGGACAACAGGCTGGGCACTTCCTACGTCGATGCGATTGCGGATGGTGATGCCGGCCTTTCCAACTACATGCTGTCTTACAGCTGGGGCTATCCTGTCGGGGACATTGCAGATACACTCTCTGACTTCTTTGGTGAAGAGAGTCTCCATGAGTTCATTTGGATATGCTGTCTGTGTATTAACCAACACCGGGCGACCTGGCTGATCTGCCGAGGCTCTTTGTAAGTTTCACTTATCCCGTCATCGCCAGTCACCATGGACATCTGTCCTCGCCTTGCTGAGACTATTTGTAGTTTTTTTCGCGTTGATGCTTGTTGTAGTACTTGTGTCAGCAGCATGACCGATGCTATCATGGTCACTGTGATAGTCCGCCTCCGGAAAGACAAACTATGCACCTCAAGCTCCAAACCTTCGCGTAACTGTTGCAGCAGCGTGATGTTTTGTGATATTCCTTCTGAATGCTTGTCCAGGTCATACTTCAGCCCTTGTGTTGCCCTGCTTCCTGATAAAATCCTGTCGCACCACACTCAATATCTGTCCAACCACAAAACTACCCGAAGACCTCACTGGTGTGTCTGTCTATGCCCGCTACACCAAAACGCCAAGCTCAACAGCATTCAACGGCCACGCCTTGGCTAGCTGTAAGGGGGTTTGGAGTCTGATACGAGTCTAAAGGAGTAGAGTTCCACAAAACCCTAGACCCTCAACCCTAAACCCCTAAACCCTAAACCCTTAACGGATCGAGAAGGGCTTTACTTGGGGCCGGGGCTCATCTGAAGCCCTGATGTAGGATGCCTCCAAAACATCCAAGCTCCCGAGCCATCATAGCCTCGACCATCAACCTATGTCCTTAGGAGGTTAGATCCTCTCGATCTCCCCAAACTCTAGGACATTTTGAGGTGAGTAGGTACCGTTATAGGAGCCTTCTAGAGGGTCTATAT